CAATGTATTTTTCACATTACTTTTTGGGGAAAACTGCGTAAAATTTGATAATTCCATCGCGACCAAGTAGCAAAGCAGCGTGGCATGTGCATCTACACTCGTCGGACCTCTATAGCATAATACATTTATTTAATATTTGTTAAGATGGGTTGTATAGGGAGTAACGTTGATGAACGGGATATATGGTGGACAATGCCTTTCTACAAGAAGTGTTCAGATCCATGACCGATATATATACCTCAGTTGATTGACAGGTGGAGCACGTGGATGTAAATTAAGAAATTGGAAATTTAATTGTTTCGGGTTTTCAAGATTAATTTTCACGATTTTGTTATCTGTTCAGAAATCCAGTTTTTACCGGTGAAGTAGTGTTCTACAGAAATCATTTAATATATCTTGTTAAATTACACGTAAAATCGAACAAAATGTGTAAATCGAATTTTCTTGATAGTGATAAATTAATAGTGAAGAATTACAAGTACGTTTAATTACATTAAAAAAATTTACCGGCAGACCGTGTATGTTCTTATCTGTAAATAAGCATTATTTTTTCACAATTCAAAAAGAATTGTTTCTACATATCTTGAACTAAGTATCGAAAATACAATCTGTTTATAATCTAAATATTTTTTAAGTTGCTGCAGCATGTATCGTTTACTCATTATTTGGTTTTTTTATGAATGAAAAGCAGTACATGTTGATGTCAATTCGACAACCAGTGTGTTTTTATTACACACAGGCCAAAGACACTCGTTTTAAAAAGGTCATTATAAATCTCTACATATTGAAAGAGTTATTGCCACGATAAAATTATTTGAGAAAATTATTTTGAGAACTCTGAAGATTTAATAGCGTTTTCATATTTCAGGCAAACGGACTACTATTTAATCTTGAAAAAAAAATAGGAAACTAAAGGTTTGTTTCATTAAATAGACTTAAAAGCAGAATTGCAACATCGTTACCTATTCCTTCATCTAAAATTTACATGCATGTTTTAACTTCTAAACATTAAAAGCGATATATTTCTAACTTTCTTTAATAGACACGGTGTAACACGGGCACCGACACGGTACAACACGGAGGGTATAATGGACGAGCTTCCTGGACACGGAGGGACACGGTGGACTTCTTGTATATTGAGAATATACACACACCGTGGCACACCGTGTACACGGTGTAACACAGAGCATTTCACGCGGTGTTTCTTCCACCGGGCGTTGCGGAAAACTCGTGAGCTGTACTGTAAATTAAAACTTTGTGTCTGACATGTTTTTTTAATTTACCAGGTGATAGTTAATACAAAAAATATTGAATATATGACAATGTTTTGCTACCATTGTGTATATTAAAAAAACATATGTAATTTTTTAAAACTGTTTAAATATATACTCCCTATTTTTTTTAACATGTATTCTTATCTTGACTTTCTAATATTAGAAAATATTTTTGAAAATACATATTTGTCGAAATTTTGGCTTATTTATAAAAGGGGAGGCTTAAAAATATTTGGGTTTTACTTTTATTGCCTTTTCGAAATAGCATGTAGCATGTGTATATAAATACCAAAAAAATAATTTTATTCTTCCCAACAGACAACCTGCAACTCTCATCTAATGTATAAATAACATAAATAATTATCTTTATACTTTGAGCTTGGCAACACAATCGACTATTGTGAATTTTGAGCACATAGAATGCAATACATGTTGTGGTTTATAAGGAGACAGTAACAGGACTCTGCTAATCACCATCTACAGCCAGGTTCCTGGCATTTGTGCTGGCCTCACTTGAGTCAATCAGTTTCGCTGTATGAAGTATGTAACCATGAAGAAGTTGTATTGATTTCTTCTCTGAACTGGTTGAAGTTATCTTTGAACTGACAACTTCTTTAAGGTCCTGCGAAAGAGCATGCTCTACTTGCCAGTTTATCACATTGTTTTCGGAATGTCACCTCTAAATATTTATATAAGTTTTCCCTTTCATTCTTAAAAATTACACTGAAAACACTTTTTGTTTGTATTGAAAGAAAATTAATAATTTGTATTTATGTAAAGCACAAATAAATAAAAGACATTGGAAAAAAACCCAATCATGTCATGATCAAACAATGATAATATGTTTCTTTGAAATTATCGCACAACTTCATCTTTCAGATTACAAAATCAGGTGTCTATAATTTACTTCATTACATAATATAAAAGGAAAAAGCAATAAAACTTTAACGAGGTTGGATCCTGATATTTTAAGTCTTAAATTTTTTTTGTCAAGTATATTTTTAATTTCTACACACATAGCTTTATTAAAAATAGATTTAAAAATGGGGGTCATTATGTTTCTTTTGGCGTTACAGTACATTTTATATGACCTTTTTACACTGATATTTGTGTCTTAATAAAAAAAATTACATCTCTCTGACATTTTACATCAAATATTTTTATTCAAATAAAGCATGGAACAAAATAAACTATTAGTCTATTTGAAAAAAGACACTTCACTTTACATGTACTTTAAAATTGTGATTAAGAAAAAGTTTCGAATTGTTTCGCATAATCATTTATATGACCTTTCTGCACTAACAAAATGTGATGTTTATGGCATTGAATATTTAATAAGCAAGAAAATTATTTTAAAGTCTTAAACTTTTGCTGAATTTAAGCAGATAGGTCAGCGTTATCTTAAATATTCAGAAAAGAACATCAAAAGTGGGGGAATATGATGTAATTTTTTTTTTTAGATATTACTGAAAAAGTGTCAATTTTATGTTGAAATTGGCTCAATTGTTTTGCTGGACTTTCAGAAAATATTTACTTTATTTGTCGCCATTCGTTGAAAGAATTTCATAAAAAAAATTTAATATATATTTCAGAACCAGCATAACACAGTTCACTGAAGAAAAAACTGCTTTGTGTGCAACCAACATGGAAAAATAGGTATCTTAATTAAAAGTACTGTGTACATTCAAAAGGGAAAAATTGATCATTTTCTTTTTAAAAACCTTCCGCCACAAAATATACTTCCTGGCTTTATACTATTTCAATGGAATTTCATCGCGGTTTTTTCATTGAATGTAGTTCAATTCGCATTGTAGAATCCAGATTAAATGTTAGAACTTAAAAATGATGCAGAATTTTAGAAATAAAGGTCATGACCAAAATCTGCTCAAAAGCTCATGATCGAACCACCTTAATAAATTCAACATAGTTATCACTTTTCTACGAAAGCCCAGAAGGCTCATTCGAGATTCAAGTTTCAAAATACGAGATTCAAAATTCGAGATTCGAAATTCGAGTTTCGAGATTCAAGATCCAGATTAACCAATCAAAAGGCTCATTCGAGATTCGAAATACGAGATTCGAAATTCGAGTTTCGAGATTCAAAATCCGGATTAACCAATCAAATGCGGGTTCAACATTTGATTACTCCCCTTTATAATGTTTTATCTATCAATAAATCGTTTAATATATTTATAACAAATGAGTCATTTGATTAAATTACAATGCAAGAAAGAGTGATATATTTATTAGAAGGAAAGTTAAATAATCATTGGATTTTTTATCAGCAAGATATACTTCAATTTATATTATGACTTCTTAAATATTAAATAGAATACATATATCAGGAATATATATATTTTTGCATTGTCTACTTTATATAAAGGGTTGTTGATATAATAATAAATTTATAAATAGTTACTTAAGATTAACAAAATCCTCACCCCTACCCGCCACACCTGCCAATTTTTCCCGACACTGAAAATGTTACTTTAAAAACTTGAAAGGCAATATAGCCTTGATAAATAAAAACCGTGTTCGTTTTCCTAATAGAGGGAATACTCAGTATATAAAAATAAAGTTTTCAATTACTTATCTTCATCTAAGGCTTTGATTTCTTGAATTAATTAACAATTATATATATACAATACAGATTGCAAATATGAATAGGAATAAATGCAGCATTCATTTTATCTGATTTCAAACAGTAGATTAGTCTAAATTACCTGCAGAACTATAGCGTTATGGTTTTATATTTAAGTCTCTGCATGACCATAGCGTTATGGTCAAAGATTAAAATGTACTCAGTTTTTATTTATCAAGGCTACATTGCCTTTCAAGTTTTTAAAGTAACATTTTCAGTTTCGGGAAAAATTGGCAGGTGTGGCGGGTAGGGGTGGGGATTTTGTTAATCTTTAGTCACTATTTATAAATTTATTATTATGTCAACAACCCTTTTTATAAAGTAGACAATACAAAAATATATATATTTCTGATATATGTATTCTATTTAATATTTAAGAAGTCATAATATAAATTGAAGTATACCTTGCTGATAAAAAATCCAATGATTATTTAACTTTCCTTCTAATATATATAACACTCTTTCTTGCGTTGTAATTTAATCAAATGACTCATTTGTTATAAATATATTAAACGATTTATTGATAGATAAAACATAATAAAGGGGAGTAATCAAATGTTGAACCTGCATTTGATTGGTTAATCTGGATTTTGAATCTTGAAATTCGAATTTCGAATCTCGTATTTCGAACCTCGAATCTCGAATGAGCCTTTTGATTGGTTAATCTGGATCTTGAATCTCGAAACTCGAATTTCGAATCTCGAATTTTGAATCTCGTATTTCGAAACTTGAATCTCGAATGAGCCTTCTGGGCTTTCGTACTTTTCTTACACATAAACATGTTTCAGCAAGATTCAATAAGAAAACAATGTAACAAGCAAACATACAATTTATAAACTCTCGGAGTCGGTTCTTCTTAATATTATTACTTAAAGTAAATGGCACCATTAAAAGTCATACAACAAAAATATATCATAGAAATTAGTTAACATAAATCATTAATTAAATACTGGGTTAAATGATGGATCACTTTTACAGAAACACTTGATGTCCAACACCGAATTGATACTTCTGTTTTGGCAATATGCGGCCCGGATTTCCTCTTCTTCATTAGAGGGATGACCTCCTGGTTGGATAGTTGAAAACTATTTTTGTAAAGGAGGAAGAGTGTTTGGTTTATCTGGTGGGGGCTCTATAACAGTGGCATCCCTAGAGGTAGAAGTCACAGCTTGGTCCACGGAGAAATAAACACTGTAGGGAAATGAATCATCATTTAAACTGATTTCATTCTCATTGTCTGTATTATACAATTTCTAAACATGTAAATATAGCATAATACACTGATAAGATATTTGACACGCCTTTACTCGGAAAACATCATTGTTTAAAGGAATATTTTCCCCAGAGTTTCCTTGATTTTTGCTTCATATAACATCAAATTAATATTTACTACTGTATTTATTTAAGTAACATTTTTAAGGTTTAGGCTAAGAATTTCATGATAATTACTTTTATAGAGGCGGCTTATATGGCATTTCCACTTGTTTTAAAAAAAATAACAAGTCTTATGTAATGGATATATGTGGAATGCAGTTCTTTAGAAAAAATATCAGACACTTTGAAGGCCATTAGTGTCGAAAAGTATCTGGAGTTTTTCATACAAAACTGTACGAAGCATAAATCGTTCTTAAAGCATTGCTTTTCGAATCACCATTCATAAGGACCATAAACTCTCATTTTATTCAGTAACAGAAAAGATTTTATTAGCATTTACATAACAATTCATTAAAGTTTTCTAAATTAGTACTTCAACTTCCTATTTATGACATAGGCGTCGGAAGCAAATTCAAAGTGTGTGTGTGTGTGTGTGTTTGGGGGGTGGGGGCTAAACCAACAAAAATTTTCAATGCCTATATTATGTATATATTTGCAAAAAATGCCCCACCCCCACCCCCCAGTTCCGACGCCTATGTATGAGATATGAAATGTATAAAGGTTGACTTCTTTGTAAATAGGGATCAATCGCAACTTCTCGGGCCTTTCCGACTAGCGGTTGTTTTTCCGACCTCTGACGGAAAGACCCGAGATGATGCGATTGAAATAGGGATCTGACCTATAGGACCGGGCTTGGTTTTTTTTCTACAAAAAGCTGTCGATTTCCGTTCCGATTAATGACATTAGGCTGAATACATGTAACAATTGTTTTTCTTAAAGCTTTATTCCACTGAGTTTAGGTAGGAGGTACACTTTTATTAATATTCTGAGTTTATTATCTCCAAATGTAATACATGTAGGCCTACAACATGACTGTAATGATATTTTTCTATACTTCTCATTGTACATAATGGTTATTTCTACAGTCTCTGGAATTCTATTCTTTATGTCTGCGCTATTTATTTTATAACACATATCCATGAACATATAAACAAATCATGCCATCAATGTGAGCAAATTATAGGCCTAAATGAAATCCAAGTGAGTGCAGTTTCTGATACATGTATACTTAGTCCTACTGTTTCAAAACTTAAGATCTTAACATTGTCTATAGAATATAAAAGCAATGTGATTAAATGTTAAGGAATATATTCAATTCCAATCCATCGCAGTTCATTGCCGAGAATATCTAAATCCATAAACACATCTATAATGAGTTATTCTTGTCCTCTTCTACGCACAGGCACCTGACGTTACTTATTTTTCTTTTAATAAAAAAATATATATATACACACACCTAATAATAAACAAGGTATCCATCGAAATCCGCCATCTTGGATTTTCGAAGTAGGTCATCACTTGTATTTTCGTCTGAAACTCCGTCAAATAAATTCCCTGCAACCATATTCTTTCTGTGGCCAGTCTTTCGAGGTCTAAACTTACGGACACTGCAGCCAGAAAGGCGCATCACACTTGCAAATATTGAAAATCCCTCGTCAAACTCGACCTACTGCTTCAACATTCCGAGAAATCGCCAAAGATGGCGGATTTCGATGGATACCTTGTTTATTATTAGGTATGTGTATATTTATTTATTAAAAGAAAAATAAGTATTATCGTTTTACTAACAGCGTGACAGTTTGCTTGATGGGGCGTGCTAAAATTTTCTGTGCTGATTATAATATAACTCATCGATTGGATGCTTTATTTCAATGGAATCGATAATAATTTGCATATGAATCTCAGAATACAACAATGTCCTGAGAATACTGGCCAATCACATTGAATGATTGTTCACCAGTGCGGCATCTGTACTCACCAGCAACACGTGGTCATTCAAAGCCCGTTCTCTGTCCTAAAAAAAGCATGTATTATATTTGTTATGATTTGACCGGATGGTTTTATACACGTATAAGAAAATTCAAAGGACGGAATTAGTAAGGCTACTCTGCTACTGTTGTACTTTGTAGCTATCAATAAAACTTGCTTTGTCCGTCCACGTGTTACTGTTGTTTACTGCATGCTAGTGAACATGTGATTCAATACGATTGGTCAGTATTGTCAGTGGTATTGTTGAGTTCTATGTTTCTTATGCAAAATATTTTTGATTCCATTGAAATCAAACATCCAATCGATGAGTAAAATGAAAATCAGCATACAAAAGTTTAGCACGCCCTATAAAGCAAACTGTCACGCTGTTTGTAAAACGATAATAACGTCAGGTGCCCGTGCTTCTACGGTATACTGAGGTTTGTTCCGCATGACTGACAACTATACATTGGATTGTTACGATTTGATCCTTCTTTAGTGTTTCTTATATCAAGAATAGGCATGCAAAAAGGAAAGATAATTGAACAAAAATAAACAACCCACAGGCACCTGACGTTACTTATTTTTCTTTTAATAAAAAAACAGTTACTTTTAAATACGATTCGACAGTTCGTATTGATTTGCTAAACTTTATTTTGTTATAAATATGATATTTTCTAATATAAGTATCTTGTATCTTGTTTGTTAATCAACAAATGATGTTCAGATTTTTGCTAATCAATAGATGATGCCTTAGGTAGGAATTGTAAACATCAAAATTGGTTTAAAAAATCAGTTGAAACTGTGTCCAGGCTCCTTTAAAGTGAATACATCCTTTCAAATATTAAATTTATAAAGGAACACGATATGTCTCCTAGTCTATATTCTGGATCACAGAGCGAACCTTTAAAAAGTTTTTTTTCTGTGTTAAAAGAAAATGGGGTTCCTAATGGTATGTTCTACTATTTAGATCTAAAAAGAAAGCGTGTACCAGAACTCTAAAAAGACAACAGCAAAGACCAGAAATATATGCTATTTTTCACTGAAATCTTTATCATGAATGCCAAGACTGAAAGTTCGTATGTCTGACCATACAAATGATTATTTTCTATTTCTTTTTAAAATATTGTTTTTAGGAGTCATAATGTTTTGTTGTAACACTGATACTGTTTTCTGGACTAATGTAAATTATATACAGAGATTTAAACAAAATAATGCAGTAGAGCATTTAATAAATATGATTTGTTATGCTATACAAGTTTTGACCAGATTATCTCATTTCACTTTTATAAAAGATTGTATGTATTTTAAAACAATCAAGGTATCGACATACTAAAAGTTGTGGTGTTAGGGCATATAATGATTTTGCCGTTTTAAGTTCAGAAATGAAGAAATTTGAGATTCCGACCAATGTCAAAATCATTTTGAATTATACATTAGCATTACATCACATTAACTTTTTTTTAAATTTAATTTTTCTTAAATCTTCTTAAAATCAAATGCACGGAATCTTTCGATATACTAGCGGTGTAAGTAAATTTCGCTGATGAGTAGTTATACCTTTAAAAATTTGCTCTTATACAAATCTAAACGAAAAAAGTCTAATTTTTCTTATGTTTAGCTGAGCGGACATAAAAAAAATTCGATGTTGGACAGCTGAGTGATATGTTGGACTGGTCGATGAGATGGACCGCGTACGTCACAGAATGGGCGGGACTTAATCTCATGCATTTTTTTATTCGTTGGTGTTCAAAAGTGAAGGACCTTAGATTACATCAAGGAAGATATACAAAATACATGTATGTCCAAGAAATTTAAAATGAAAGGTATAACAAAACATTTATTGACTATATTCTCGGGCAAAATGCGTTTTGTCGACCCTCGAACCAAACAGACAGTTCGGTTCTTGGGTCCGACAAAACGCACGTTGCCCTCGAACTAAGTCAATAAATGTATAATATTTAATTCTTAGAGTGCAATATCTTGCATTTTTAGAATCAAGGTGCTAAATGAATGTTGCATAGATTCTTATTTAATGAAAAAAAAATTAATGAAAATTAATGAAAATGAGTATAAATTATTATTAAATATTATTTTTTGTTACCAATGTATTAAAGTACGATATCTATTATCTTTGTTATATGCACATGTACCAAAAACGTTGAGTCTTAAATGCATCAAAGTTATATTAAGAGTTTTGTTGTTAGAGATAAATATCCGATGGAAGTTAAGTATCTGGAGCCATTTATCTCATTCATATACAGGTACCTTCGATAGAAGGCTATGTCTCGTCGTTTCTGCTTTGAAGATATATAAAATTGTAATACCTATAAAGATTTGTTCCTATACAAATCTATAAGAAGAAAGTATAACATTTCTAATGTTTTGCTGAGGGAGCATAAAAAATCGATGTTTGACCGCTCAGTGAAATGTTGGACCGGTCGTTGAAAGGATGGGAGGAGCTTAATCTCATTTTTATTCGTTGGTGTTCCAAAGTGACGGATCTGAGGTTACATCACGGAAGACAGTATAAGATACATGTATGTCAAATTAAAATTAAAAAGAAAGGAATAGCAAAACATTTATTGAATATGTTCTCGGGCAAAATGCGTTTTGTCGACCCTTGAACCAAACTGTCTGCCTTCGGCCTAACGGCCTCAGGCGCCCAGTTTGGTTCTTGTGTCCGACAAAACACATGTTGACTTCGAACTCAGTCAATAAATGTATAATCATGATAAATTGTTTTCATCAATAACATTTGACCAGACAATGGAATATCAAATTAAACATAGCGGTAATGTAAGGATATAATTATGAAAAGCAATAATGATTTAAAAATCAAACGTATCCTATTAAATTTCATACTTTATATTCTCTAATGTGATCTCTAGGGTCCATTTCATTGTATTCCTAATATTAATTGACTTCAGCCGTGGACGAACACAATCTGCTTTCACCTTCAGATTTTTATTTTTTAAGAAAGCCTATAATAACTCTTACCTGGTGGCTGGACTTTCTACTCCTCGTTTTGATTTTTTATATGCACAGATCACCACTGCTACTATAACAATACATGTAACTATAACCGCCCCCACGGACCCACCGGCAATAATACCGATGTTGCTAGAGCTTTCTGAGGCGGCAGGAGAGGTAAAGGCTGCAGAAGAGAATATACTTATGTTGAACGATATTTAGTACATAGAATCCATATACCGTAAAAGCAGAATTTCTAGCGTGGATTTAATTTTGGCATTATTAGCGAGGGTCATGAGGTCGCTAAAATTGAATATCGCTAAACATAAAATGCGTTTAGAAATAATTTGTTATAGCTTCTTCAGTGAACATTTTGAAATCGATAAAATAACATCTCGTTAAAAATGAATTACAGATTTTAAAGAACGAATCGCTATACGGCACTAGCATTGATTTGATAACTAATTAGTAAAGTATATCCTCATTTAAAGTGTTGATTTGATTACTAATTATTCAATGTACAGCCGATGTAAAGCTAAAGATTATTAGTACACAGCATCCACATTTTAAGCACAGAGTACGCAAATACAATGTTGATTTGTTTCCACATTTTAAGCACAGAGTATGCAAATACAATGTTGATTTGTTATCTTAATTATACATAAAGTACGTTGTTCACAGCATTTAAGCATGGTAAAATATTGTAACTATAATCAAGAAAGACAGCATATTACAGTAGTGTACTAAAGTTAAGGACTTACTAGTATTTTATGAATGAGCGCATTTAGTATTCTCGTAGCCCAGAGGTTTTGGAGGACAAAATATTTTGAAGTGCAGTTTTAACATATTTCTCATATGAGGTCTGATAATTATTATATTGTACATGTATTGTGTCTGACTTGTTCTTACTTGCATAATCTCAAATTAAATACAAAATGTCTTATATTTGAGACTTTATAGCATGGATCATATACAAATCAGTAAAACTGATCAAGCAGAAGACGTACTTACGACATGTTTCTGAAAAATTAATGAAAAATAGTGTTCTAGTATAAGTACATATAATTATTAGTGCTACATTTACTACGATTGATTCTAGATTCTGAAGAGATGATAAAACTTTTGTTAAGTTTACCATAGGCAACGAATTCTAACTTTCCCGCGCCTGTAGACATTTTGGTTGTGGGTGATTGATTTTGTCCGCACGCCCCTTTGTTGTCACTTGCGAATACTTTCCCACCGGAAGTTGTAACGGCCTTTTTAAATCACATCAAAGTTCAAAATCATTAGGCATTAAGAATTTTTATAAAAAAAATAATCGTTTTGTTTTAAAATGTTACTTACATAGCATGTAAATCGGTATGTTGATGAGAAATCCACACTTGTATCGGCGTTTATTACTGTGACGTAATAAGTACTTCCAACGGAAGTAGAATAGGCACAATACGCCACACCGTGGGCTGCAATAGAAATTTTCTATCAACGTCTTTTAGAAATCTCCCTACTTAACTTAAATGTTGATTTTATTGAGATTAAAGAGGTAAAAACAAACTTGAGTAAAATTGTTGCGTTGAGCACAGGGTGTAATTGACCACCATTTGAGTTCTATCTGAGCAAACATCCCAGACGCTTGTGCCATCACAATATGTTGTGGAGCCGTCATTGAAAGTATAGTTAAAGCTTCCCAAAAATTGAGGTGGGCAATTCTGTGCTGCATTTTGGATGTAATCTTAAAAAATGAAAAGGAACTTAGAAGAAATAACAAATGTTTCTTATTAAACAATGAGATAGTAGTTTTGTTTCAATTACAGTACCTTTTTTAACCATAACAACTGTTTCTACTGCTGTAGGCAGACCCTCGGAAGGGTTACATGCGTAGCTTATATTAACAGTGTCTGTTGTTGATTGAACAAGTACACGCGCATCGCCAGCGTTAGTCTCATTATCTGTAATGGAAGTCGAATATTGCAAACCAAAAATAAATAAAGAAAAACGAAATTATTAAATAAAGAAAAACGAAATTATTAAATAAAGAAAAACGAAATTATTAAATTAAGAAAAAACGAAATTATTAAGGACTTGAGATTTATAATTCAGAAGGTGCACTAGGTTTCCAATATGACATTTTGAAGATGAAAAAAGAAAACATTGCTTAATTTAGACAGAATCTTTTTTCAATTGAATTACAGTTTACATTTTTTAAAACTTACTTGCATGTATAAGATACGTGTAAGAGTAGTCGGTTAACTTTTGCCATTTTATACACCGATATGCATTATGATTCTCACCAAAAACTGCTGTTGTTTGATTTGATCTACAAATAACATAAAAAAACAATTAGAGTATTCTTTTTTTTTTTTGGTTTTCATCTCCTTATTTTTTTGCAAAGTTACTGTTGTATATAACAATATAAAAGACTATATTCACAAAAAAACTTGCATTATTATTGCTTATTTTGTAATACAATGTTCCATAGCATGGAGATTATGGAGGTCAGGGGTCATCATGGAGTCGTGAAGTGGTCAGTGTAAGGGCTCCGGAAATTTTTGTATATAACAACGATATATTCGCCTGTCCGGGCCAAAAAATTGCCAGGTAACATCTACCCGTATATGTATTGACAGACTTTTAGCAACATGTGCATTATTTTCCTATTTTGATTACTTAGTGACCGTTTTATTGTTTCTCATGTGGGGACAACTCTGGAGATGAACTGTACTCAAGTTACGTTTTGGGTTATGTCTGTCTATGTGTGAAAATAGCCATGTCTCTCTCAGATACGGTCCAAATCATGGCCAAATTTAATTCAATTATCGATGGGAACACTTCCAACCCCAGTAACAGTGACAGTGAAGTATTATTACACTCAATACACACGTTACTTACTCAAATGAACTCTGGACTTAGTGAAATCGAGAGTAAGATGTCCCAATTAAATGCTATTCAAAGTGATGTGGCCAAAATCAAGACAAAAGTAACTGATCTAGACTCAGAAATAAAGACCATACGTAGTGAATTCAAAGATCTTGAGTCAAATGTAAGTTCTTTGGGGTTAGTATTTGACTCTGTGAAGGATACGGCGGAAGCGGCTACGAAACAGGCTGATAGTAATAAAAATGACATCAAGAGAGCAGGTTCTGAACAAATAGCAGCACAAAGACAGACTGAGCGAGAACTGCAATTATTAAATAAAGAAAATGTAGAAATTAGAGACTCTATCATCGATTTAAAAGCCAGATCCATGAGAGACAATTTAGTGTTTTCAGGCATTCCTGAACAGAAAGGAAAGGACACAGAGGAGGTTCTACAACTTTTCTTTCGTTTGAACGGGTCCAAGGATGGGAAAGTTCACCGAATTTAGTGATAGACCCAGAAATATTCTTGCAAAATTCACATATTTCAAGGACCGGGAATGCATTAGAACCAAAGCGCCACACAGACTTCATGGATGTAACATTTGGGTAAATGAACAGTTCCTGGCAGAAATCGAGGAGAGGAGGAAAAAACTCTACCCCGTTATGAGACAGGCGAGACTAGACAAATGTACAACCAAGCTAGTCCGGGATGTGCTATATATAAACGGGAAAGTGTATACACCCCCCATCTCCACTGATAACGGAGATGACGGAAGAACCAACATCCTTCAGACCTTCCGGGCAGTCATCACACGGAAATCGGTGGACCAAAAATCAGCAAACACCTAGGGGCGAGCGATCATCCCAGAAGAGACCGCGCACTGGATCTACCCCAGACCGCATTGACGCCTGGGCGGGGGGGGGGGGGGGGCGCAGGAGAGCAGACATCCACAAAACGTAATGACTCTGCACTGACACCTGATCGAACAGAAAACACTTTGAATTTTCTATCTTTAAATGTCTGTGGAATTAAAAACCGTCTCAGTTATACCGAATTAAAATAATTTATTACCCAATACGACATACTAGCTTTTACTGAAACAAAGACAGATAATTCTGATGAAACTGATATCCTAGGATATACAACATTTATGAAAAACAGAAATAAGCTTTCAAAAATAAGATCAGGTGGACTGATATTAGCAGTACGTGATGAAATCATTAAGTATGTAAAGATTGTAAATACTGATTGTAAATATGTGTTCTGGTTTAAGTTAAATAAGTCACTTTTTCAAACATGTGAAGATTTGATATGCGGAGTTGTATATATACCGCCTGGGTCTAGTAAATATTCTTGTGCAGATTGTTATATGGAAATTGAACAAGAACTCATCAATGTTTCAAAAGATCAAAAAGATGTATGTTCATTAAAAAATTTTTGAAACATATTCTGTACTATCTGTCATTATACATTCTAGAATTGTCTCATACTGGTGTAAATTATTGAATGGCACAGATAAGAAAATTTCATGTATATTATATCAATATTTAATTGGTAAGAATCCTTGGATTGACTGTGTTCATAGTATTTTTGATTCATGTGGACTATCTCACATTTGGAATGAACAGTTTTATTACAATTCTAATCAAGACTTGCTTACTACTGTTGTTAAACAAAGATTACAGGGTCAATTTATACAAAAATGGCATTCTGATATCAATTGTTCTTCTGAAGGTATTCTGTATAAAATTTTTAAAACAAAATTTGAGCGTGAAAATTATTTAAGTATTTTGTCATTAAAATTTAGAAAAATACTTGTCCAATTCCGTACTACTAATCACCGTCTATCAATTGAACTGGGAAGATGGGCATGTATACCATTAAATGAAAGATTATGTACACGTGCTAAACATGTTGCTGATGAATTCCATTTTGTACTTGAATGTACTGCACTGTCAAATATCAGAAAAAAATATATTAATGAATACTACTTCACTAGACCAAATATTTTTAAATTTTCCCAATGAAGACAAAACAAGATGCTATGTCACTTAAAAAACTCTGTATGTTTATATCAAAAATATAAGCATCTATTTGAAATATAAAATAGATGCATTTATTTTATGAGAAAAGAAATCGGGTTTGATGTATGATATGCAGACTTCAAAATTAACATCGGGTTTGGGCTTCCTTTTACGCCGGGGTGGCTCAACAGGAAAGAGGTCACAGATTAATCAAGAGTTTAAATTGGTAAAAATACGCAGGATTGGCTTTTAAGAAATGTTAATTGTTGAAGATATTGCAATTTTATATACATTCGATACAATTTTTATATCAAAGAAAAATATTTTGAGGTTATAACGAACGATGTTTTCGGATTGTCGTCTGCTGTGCAAACACATGGTAATGTGCGGAAATAGCTGGAGCATGGATTGTATAAAAATTACTAATTCTGTAGTCCATAGATATGTATGAAGACGAAACCATGGGGCGAGCGCAGTTATTCAACATTTCTTACTCGGTACGCTTTCTAGATATTGTTATGTAAATCTGCTTTTGACGATACAATTTAAGTCCAATATTAGTTTGCGTTTACTGCCTATTTTAGACAAGTTCAGTATATGCAAATACATTTAAGATAAAAAAAAAATAAATGAATAAATAGAAATAGTCTCTCTAACAGCTGGTCTCTCTTGAGCGCGACTTGTCGGCTCTCGGAGAGAAGGTTCGTGATTTGGATGAGTCCACTAAGCGTTTGATGCAGACTCACCCTGATCAGGCTGAACAAATTTACGAGCACCAGAGAGACATCAACGTACAATGGAACATTCTCACACAGAAGGCTATGCCAGAAAGGCTAAACTCCTGGATAGTTATGACCTGCAAAGATTCTTAAGTGATTACAGGGACCTGACCCTGTGGATTAACAGCATGATGACCTTGGTGTCGTCAAACGAGCTGGCTACGACGTGACGGGGGCTGAGGCTCTGTTAGAGAGACACCAGGAACACCGGACTGAGATAGACGCTCGCTCTGGCATCTTCCAGGCCTTTGAGGTGTTTGGACAGAACCTTCTACAGAATGAGCACTATGTCAGCCCTGACGTCAGAAACAAACTAGAGGAGCTGGCTAAAGCCAGGGAAGAACTCGAACAAGCGTGGATTGCCAGGAGGATGAAGCTGGACCAGCTCTGATCAAGAAACATGAGGACTTTGAGAAGTCCCTCGCAGCACAGGAGGAAAAGATTAAGATGTTGGACGACTTTGCCACAAAACTGATTGAGAGTGAACATTACGCTTACGATGACGTCGCAGCCAAGAGAGACCAGCTGTTAGAGAGACGTAACGCTCTGTACGAGACCTCGGCCAATCGAAGACAGCTCCTGGAGGAGTCCTACAAATTCCAGACCTTCGAGCGGGACTGTGATGAAACAAAGAGCTGGATTAATGAGAAACTCAACACTGCTTCTGATGAAAGCTATCTGGATCCCACCAATCTGCAGACTAAAGTGCAGAAGCACCAGGACTTTGAGGCAGAGTTGGAGGCCAACAGGAATCGTATAGAGACCATTCAGCAGACAGGAGAACAGCTGATAGAGGAAAAGCACTACGCCTCAGAGACCATCGGAGAAAGAGTTGAAGAGATTGTCAAACTGTGGAACACTTTATTGACACAGACTGATAAAAAAGGAAACAAGTTGAAGGAGGCTAGCCAGCAACAGCAATTTAACCGTAACATTGAGGACATTGAAGTGTGGCTGGGGGAGATCGAGGGACAGTTTATGTCAGAGGATTATGGGAAGGATCTGACCAGTGTTCAGAATCTCCAGAAACACGCCCTAATGGAGGCAGATGTGGCCGCTCATCAGGATCGCATCGAGAGCATTGTCATTCAGGCTGACCAGTTTGTCGATTCAGGCCATTTTGATGCAGATAACATCAAATCCAAACAGGAACAAGTTGTCCAGAGATACGATGCTCTTCAGGAGCCTATGGAGGCCCGTAAACAGAAGCTGGCTGATGCCCTTAAGCTCCAGCAGTTCTTAGGAGACGCTGAGGACAAGGAGGACTGGATCAGGGAGAAAGAACCCATAGCTTCCTCCACAAACAGAGGCCGTGATCTTATTGGTGTCCAAAATCTGATGAAGAAGCATCAGGCTTTTCAGGCCGAAATTGCTGGACACGAGCCTCATATCAGCAAGGTATGTAGCCATGGCAACAAAATGATGGATGATGGACACTTCGCGACTGAGGAAATTCAGAGGAAGATTGAGGAGCTACAGGACAGGTGGCAGCAACTGAAGGACAAGGTCCTACAGAGGAAGCAGGACTTGGAGGACTCTCTCCAGGCCCGGCAGTACTTCGCCGACGCTAATGAAGCCGAGTCCTGGATGAAGGAAAAGGAACCCATCGCTGCTAACACTGACTACGGAAAAGACGAGGACTCAGCAGAGGCCCT